AAACTCCCGGTATTTCTACTCGAAGGGCATTACTGGGAAACTAAGTTCTATTCTACCGCCTCTACGGAGGATACCGTAAGCTGGTAAGTGTCCACTGGCATTTGGTCACTGAATTCCTTACTCTCAGAGAGAGGGTTGTACTGTGACTCTTTTGAACTACAGCGGAGCCTGCTTGCTGGCAAGGAAGCTTGTTGGACCAGTCGGGTTCAACTAATGGTGGAGGCAAGAGCAGTAGGCAATTGCCCCAAGCTCTTCCAGCTGATCCGCACCACTGCTCCCAGGAAACCAGGCGTCACTGAGACAATCCGAGACAGCGCGGGTGCACTGATACACAACAAGGAGCGCCGTATGGCTCGTTGGGCGGAACACTTTCAAGATCAGTTCAGCTAGCCTCTTGTCCCCGGACCTCTTCCTACTCAGGTGATGCAGGACGAGCCATGGACGGTTAGTTTAGAGCCTCCGTCGGAGGCCGAGGTCTGAAACGCAATCACAACCCTCAATCGTTTTCGTGCTGCTGGCCCGGATTCCCTCCCACCTGCACTACTTAAGGATGGATGTGAGGTCATCTGCAAAGCACTGACCTCCCTACTCGAACATATCTAGAAGAAAGAGATTGTCTCGGTTAACTGGAGTGAATCGATTATAGTGGCAATATGCACGAAGGGCATTCGCACAGACTGTTCTAACCACAGGGTATCAGCATAACGCCAGTTTTTGACAAAATTACTGGTCTCGATTCTCGTTCATTGCCTCACTGTGGAACGGGATGCTCGGATTAGAGAAGAGCAGGCCGGTTTCCGCCCAGGACGTGGCTGTATAGACCATATTATTGACTTTGCGGCAGGTGCTAGAGCAGCGCCACGCCTTCCACAGACAGACAATCGTTGTGTTCCTCGATTTCAAGAGTGCGTCTGATTCAGTCGATCGATCGATTCTGTTCGAAATATTTGCGCAGAAACGTGCTTCCGCGAAATATGTGAACAGCTTGCGTGCTCTATACTCGAACACTGCAGGCCTGTCGGATAGATTTCCGACAACGAATGGCGTTCGTCAGGGTTGTCCGATTTTCCCATCTTTGTTCAACTTCGTCTTGAATTCTATCATGGAGTGTTCCCTTGCGGAATCTCACGATGTAAGCCTTGAGGTGCTGCCTCGTGAAAGATTACTTTATCTTGATTATGGGGACGAAATCCTCTTGCTTTTTGACAATATTGGGGCGGCCCATTCAACCCTGAATAGCCTGTCCAGCGTGGACCCATTATTTCGTATGCCCTTCTCACCTTGAAATTGCAGTGTTGCTACAGGACCATCAGCCACTTGATGATTCGTTAATCCTTGACAACAAGAAACTCGAGGTGGTTGATCAATTCACTCACCTTGGCAGATGCATCGGAAACGATGGGCGCATAGAAAGTGAAGTCAATTCCCGCATGGAAAAAGCCAAAACTACCTTCTTGAATGTGCGGCATCTTTGGCGCAGAAGGGAGTTTCTTTCCGAATGAAAGACCGTGTTTAATAGGCTACAGTGAGGGCCGTTCTGCTCTATGGTAGGGAGACGACTTCTTCGGTTTGAAGATCTGAAGCGCCTTCAAGTCTTTGATCATCGTTGTCTGCGGAGCATTGCTGGTGTCGGATGGCACCAGTGTGTTCGCAACCATGATGTGCTTATGCGAGTACTAGTTAGTGATAACCAAGCTAGTTCCTTAGAGCAACAGATAGCACTGAATAAGTTGCGTTGGCTTGGGCACGTGCTGCGTATGCCTGGTAGCCGCTTATCTGGAAGGGTCTTGTTTGGTCTGCCAGATGTAGGGTGGCGCAATGCTCGAGGTGGACAGAAGTTGACTTGGCAGCGGGAAATGAAGTCACTGACAACTAAACTGGGTGCCGTTGGTCTGTCTCGCTTTCTGTGCTGGAATTCACCTAACTCTCCTTGTGTTTGGCTCGAGAGTTTACTGGACATTGCACGCAGCCGACACCAGTGACGTGCCTGCTGCCTTGTCTCCCAGTCGGACTGCCTGTTTAAAGTGTGTTTGGTGCTGAGTTATCTGTGGGGTGTTGGCTGCTTATGCCGCATTGTAGTCTCGCCGTGTGGCTGATGCGGCCTTATCTTTGCACGATAACCAGCTGTTTGTGACGATATGTCGCTGACAGAAGTTGTAGGCGCCTTGACCCAGGTTGTTTGTAATGTCATGAAGGTTTTCAGGTAAGCGCCTATTCTCTCCCTCTTATTATTCTTTACGTCATTGCGGTTGTATGGCAGCGAAACATCATTTCAAATGGCTGATGTACTGTTGATGTTATTGTTGCTAATGGTGTGGCTCTTTTCTTCTTCAAGTTTACGATCAGACTGAACTTAAATGTTCTTTTCTCCTCAGCCTCTTCTTATACTTTACTGGTTAAGTTTGAGTATTTGAGCTACATAGCTTCTTTGGGTCGGACCCGGCGGCTATTTAAGCACTGTAGAACAGCTTTACGAGTAGCGCTGTACGCTTCGGCATTTGATTTATACCTTAATCTACCGCTATAAAACTGGCCCGACACGAACAGCCGCTGGAAGTAGTCTGCTAGTTCACTAACCTTGCCAGTTGTTCTCTCACTTCTGATGGCGTCACTGCGGAGGTCAGTTCAGCAAAATTCGTATGGCTTTTCAGAAGCCCTTCATCTCTTCGGACGACGGAATATGAGCTTCTTAGTTGCAGCTAATATCTGTAATCTTGTGATAAAGCTCATACCATAGTATGGATCAGAAAATTGGCCATTTGCACTGAATTCATTATCAAGTCGGTCGTCTTTAATCTGTTATACATGCGGAATATTGTTTGCATCCGATTGGAACACCGGGCGATCAGCAGTGACGTCCATCAGTTAGCGTTTTAGGGAGACACTCCTTGGGGCCTTACTAGGATGTAAATTACACACCAACCGCATTCGTTGGCTAACTCATGTCCTCTGTATGATCGCCGATCGCCTTCCCGGATTTGCATTCCATGCCGTCGATGTATTCAGTCGGACGAATTTTCGTGATGCACTGCTTGAGGAAGGTCATCAGATACTGATACTGATTAGAAGCAGCGAGTAGAGCATACACTGTGTAGCTGCATTAATTGTCGCTCTTGGACATTAACGTATTAATTATCGTTCCGCTCTTTATATTTTGCCTCTGCAAAGTGTTTGTCTAGAAGCTTCTTAAATTCGGCCACTGAATTCACCTCTATTACCGGTTGCGGCAGGTTGTTCCAGGTACTCACCACTCTACGTTCGAAACAGAGTTGGTGAGCTACCCGCTTCAACTGCGGTACGATAAGTTTGTACCGGTGTCCTCGCGTGTTGCTTGGTGTGCGCAGATGAAGCAGTTGTCTCAACATGGGGTGTTCACTAAGATGTAATATCCGGTGCGTCATGATTAGGTCAATGCTCAACCGACGATATGCTAGGGCGTACAGCCCTAGTTTCTTACATCGGTCTTCATATGGCATACCTCGTAAGTTGGGAATCAGCCTGGTGGCTACATGCTGCACCCGCTCAAGCTTTTCTACCTCGCCCAGCGTGATGGGACAATATGCGGGAGAGCCGTACTCTATCATTGGTCGTATTATCGAGACGAAGAGACGAGTGGCAATCTCTTCGGACCAAGTGCTAAAGCTGCGCCTGAGAGTCCAAAGCATACGAAGGCTTGTTTGGTACAGCCAATTCGTGTTGTCAATGGATTTCAGGTCGCAGCGTGAGAGCACACCGAGGTCGCGCACGAAAGACGCGGGATGCATCGGTTGACCAGCCACTGTGTACGTTCGGCCGTGATCACACTTATCTAACCTCATTAACTGCGACTTGGCAGGGTTGATCGGAAGGTTAACCTCTGCAGACCATGTTGAGAGACTGTCGAGATCGTGCTGAAGTAAATCACAATCATTGAGTGTGCGGATTACTCTCCACACCTTCAAGTCATCTGCGAACAAAGCACAATGTGATTGTAGTAGCTGAGACACATCGTTTATATGGATTAGAAACAATATCGGTCCCAGTACAATGCCGTGGGGCACGCCGCTGCTCGATGGATACCAGTCAGTTATATGGTTGTCCACCTGGACTCTCCACTTCCGATCCACAAGGAAATTTCTGATCCATTTGTGTAGCGAACCACCAACACCGTAAATGCTCAGCCTGTCAAGGAGCACTGCATGGTTAACCTTGTCAAAAGCCTTACTGAAGTCAATGTAAATGACATCGACTGAATGGCCTTGGTTCATCGCTTGTAACCACTCGTGCCTTGTCCTCGCGATTGTGAGCCACATAAGCGCTTGTGGGTGTTGTCTGACTAAGCAGAACTGCAGACTCGGGAACACTGCCACCAAACTGTTTCCATTTAACCACTACCATTACATCCCGACTAATTTTGCTCACTTCCTCTGAACCCCTTTTTCTCCAGTCTGTTTGTGTCCCACTTCATTTCTTTACCGATTTCAATCGTTGCATCCTACCGGCGTAATACTGTACAATATCTCTACAACTGCACCGAAGTATAATCAGAAATGGTAAAAAAATAACTTTCTATGACCTGTCAATACCCTAATCGTTTTTCAACTTTTCACATGATGATACCGTGAAAAACGCCGAACTCACTGTAAGTTGGCATCCATAAATGTGAGATTTCAGTCGCTACTGGATCCGCCACACTTCGGTGGTGACTATAGTTGCTAAATTTTCACCCTTCTGGATACATAAACCTCTCTCTATTGAATTGAATTAAAAAGCACTGAGCTCTTATAAAGTTTGATTAGTAGTAAATAGCCACGCGCTCATCACTAGCTTCCGGTAGATGCTCACAAGGAGACACCGCTTGCCCCCTAACTAGCTATGTGTCGATTTTTAGTGTTTTAATATTTCAAGAAATCTTCACTTTGTAGTCCGTTTTTCTATCATTCGCTTTAGTGAGCCACTGAATTCTTTAACGGACTTTTTTGCAACCCCCAGTGTGACACCTCTTCCCACCTACTCTCCAGGTATGTGACCTCTAAGTGGAGTAAAGTTCTGGAGGCTGTCTTGGTTAGCTTTCTGACAACCTCTGTCGGCTTCATGCTCCTATGGTTAGTGCGCGATTGCAGCCCCTTGGCCTTCACTACCAACCCCCATCCACTTCAAGTAAGTCCCCGTAATCGTCTGTTGGTGTACTTCTCAACACCTTTCGTCACTTTAAACCTCTCATTTTCCGTACTAAGAATACAATATCTTTTCAGTACAGCACACTGAGTCCAAACCGGGACCTTAGCACCCAAGTACAGGTCGCCACAACTTGCGTCAATACAATATTCGGTGTATGAATTGCACGCAGCAGCAAAAAGCACCTCGGTGATGGAAGAGTATCTGGGAACAGAATTGCCTTCGTCGAGTAGAACAGTCAAATGGAAGACGCAAGCGATCACAAATTCTGCGATCGTAGACATCGGATGCAGTCTCCAACCACTGGTGTGGTCCTGTAGGCAGAATTTGTTTTCATCGTTCCATCTTCCAGTTTTCGACATCGGTTTCTTGCTGATCACCCGCTTCTTCTGGCGCAATTGTATCGACTTCGTTCCCGTCTAATTAAGCTGCCAGAATTATATGCACTTTTACGACAGGCGTGTTAGGCGTTTCCCTCGATTGACAACTAATAATTTATTCCTTGCTCAAGAAAAGCTGCCGAGATACTCTACTTGCCAAACGTTCGCCCTCTACCGAATCCTATCAGACATTGTAAGTCAGTGTCATTCACGATCACTGCGCTCCTGCTTGCGTCACTATCAATCACCATGACACCGGTTACTTCATATGCCAGAGCTGTGTGATTTGCTGACAACCAAAAATAAACGCCTTACAGCTAACGGTTCCAGACAGACTGTTTGGAGGGAGCACTGATATGGAAGTCTGATTCGTCCAAACAGTTCAACAATTGGAGGTCCGGGTGGCGAAGATTACCACACTCTTCTGGCTGATTTGCATGACTGGTCCCAGGAACGTCATTGAAACCATGAAGGACAACACCGATGCGCTAGTTCACCCTAAAGAATACTGTCTTGTCTGTTGGGCGTATTACTTCCGGTAGCCAACTGATTGACTCCCCGCTCCTGGAAATCTTCTCACTCAGTTTGTGCAGGCATGGGGCATGACCGATCAGTTCGGAGATTTTGTCTGAGGCTGTGGTTTAAAGCATGATCACAGTCTTCAACTGCTTTCGCTATTCGCGGCCACTCTAGCTATGTGAGATGAATCGACCAAGGTATGTATACGTGAAGCGCGAAACGCTGCAACAATACAAACGAGATGGATTTGGTCAGCACTAAAGCAGCCATAGCTTTTCTGCCAACCGAAAGAGTATCAGTCTAACGTCGGTAGTGATAGAGTTGCGGACTTCAATCCGCGTTCGCCGCCTCATCGCGAAACGAGAATTCCGGGACGGGACTTTGTAGACCATATGTTCACTCTGCAGTAGTTTAACTTGCACCGCCGGTTAACTATACCTGTGTTTCTCAATTAAAAGATTGGGTTCGATCTAGTTGGTCTTTCAATCGGTCCTTTATTTTTGACACTTACGTGGAAAAGTGTTCCCATCAAGTGTGTGAACATTTTACTCACCTTGCAGTCTAACACCACCGGTCATCTCGCGCTCTATTTTGAATTATCGAACTTTTTTTTAAACAACAATTGGCCTTTATCAGGGGCTATACAGTTTCTCTATTGTTTCTTAACTTTCTGGTGCGTTTCAGCATAGAGTGCCTCCTTGCCGAATCTCACGATGCAGGCATTGAGATGGTGTCTGTCTGCACGACCACTTCCTGCTGTTTGCTTATATTACAGCGAGTCAGTAGGCCACGAGGAAGCTCTCTCGAGTAATCCCATTATTTGGGATGAGTCTCGCATTTTCAAAATGTGAAGTGTTTTGCCCGACCACTAGCCGCTTTATCACCCTTTGGTTCTTGACGACGAGAAACTGAACTTATTTGATCTATTCACCTGGAAACTGCGTTAACAGTGATACTTAAACTGTATTTAAGTTACGAATAGAAAATGGGTGTTGTCCGAAAACCCTACACTCCTATGACGCGTTTCGATGTTATTACATTGTTTAAGTTACGTATTGCGAAATCTGGAAGTACATTCTTTTATATGCGGTATATGTGGAGTCAAGAGATTTCCCTTGGTTAGAAAGTCTGTGTATGCGGGATCACTGCGATACTCCTCACTTGGTATGGCATTGAAGGTTCCATCGGTCTTAAGATCTGAAATGCCTTCCCGTCTTTACCCACCTTGATAGCAAGGAACTCGAGTTGGTTGGTCAATTCACTTACCTGGCAGCTGCATCAGCAACGACGGGGGCATTGCAACTGAAGTCAGTTCGCGCATTGCAAAATCCAGAACTGCCTTTTTGAATGTGCGCCATCTTTGGCGCAGAAGGGAGTTTCTTTCCGTCTGAAAGGCCGTGTTTACAAGACTATAGTGAGGACAGTCCCACTCTATGGGAGTGAGACGGCCTCTTCGGTTTGAAGATCTGAAGCACCTTCAAGTCTTTGATCATCGTTATCTGCGGAGCATTGCTGGTGTCGGATGGCACCAGCCTGTCCGCAACGATGATGTGCGTATGCGAGTACTAGTTAGTGATAACCAAGCCAGTTCCTTATAACAACAACTAGCACTTAGTAAGTTGCGTTGGCTTGGGTACGTGCTACGTATGCCTGGTCACCGCTTATCTAGGAGGGTCTTGTTTGATCTGCCAAATGTAGTGTGACGCAATGCTCGATGTTTACAGAAGTTGACTTGGAGGCGGAAAATGAAGTCACTGACGACTAAACTGGGTGCCGTTGGTCTGTCTTGCCTTCTGGAATGGAGTCCACCTGAACCACCTTGTGCTTGACTCGAAACTTTATAAGAAGTCTCGCAACCGACATCGGTGGCGCGCCTGCTGCCTTGTCTCCCAGTCGGACTGCCTGTTTAAAGTGTGTTTGGTGCTGTGTTAATTGGGGGGTGTTGGCTGCTTATGACGCGTTGTAGTGAAAGTCGCAAGGACGCTGTCTCGCTGATGCGGCCTTATCTTTGCACGATAGCTAGCTGTTTGTGACGGTATGTCGCCAGCAGAAGTTGTAGTTGTCTTGACCCTGGTTGTTTGTAATGTCATGAAGTTTTTCCTGTAAGTCCCCATTCTCTCTCTCTTATTATTCGTAATTCCACATAGGTCGTCTTGGATCTATTGCGGCGAAGCATCAGTTTTGTTAGACTGATATACTGCTGGTGATCACTATTTTTTGATTTTTCCGTGATTTGTGTGGCATTGCTTGCATCAGATGGCACACGTTGTCTACAGCACTGATAGGTGCAACCGAACAATAGACGGTAACACTCAGGTTGGTTCTCTAGAACAACTCTAGCAGTTTTTGAATGGTCGCTTTTGTTTAGGCACTTACTACATCTGTCCAGTCATTGCTTATCAAGGAGAGTTTTATTTACTGGACGTTAGATGGCGCAAGGTTCTAGGTGGGCCACTCGCAACCCAACTGGGCGCTGTTGATCCGTCTTTTTTTTGAGACTGGTATCCCCGTAACCCACCTCTTTCTTGACTATCCTACTTTATATAGTTGTTTTATTTCTCTTTTACGGACTTATGTGGGAGGTAATGGTTTTCTATAGCGTGGAGCAATAGTCCGAAGGAAATTTGTCTCACCGGTTTCACCTTATCTTCACACGACATCCGGCTTTTTGCAGCCTTGTCTTGTTTACGCCGTGTGACCTTGAATGTTTGCCTATGAGAATAATGTTTAACTCTAGCTACATTTTGTAACCCCTATTCCCTAGCTCCGTTTGTGCGTACGGAAGCGAAACATCAATTCTAATTCTGGTACACTTGTGTTGATGTTGCTGATGACAAAATGGATAGACAGGTTACTCGGCTTCACCAACCGGCTTTTCAACAATCTGCCAACATTTTTAACTTTATCTAGTTCATCGCTGTTGGATTACGGGTCAGCTGGAGCAGCGATCATTTCGGGAAAACACCATATGACCGTCTGGTGATTTTCCGCGTTGGTAGTTGGCCTATGTGGCTTGTACTCGAATTGCGATGATCTACATAAATCCAACCAAGCCCGTCTACTCATGAGTACCTTCCTTTTCTCGTTAATTTCTACGAACATCTCTGCTCCGTTACTGTCGTTTCGTACCATTCTCTGCTGTATGGTTTCCCTCCGTTTCAACTTGCACACTCAACAAGGTTTTAGTCCTTATCCTTCATCTTTGTTTTGCATATACCGCATGCATTCCACTGCATTTCTTCTCATTGCCCAACAGCTCATGTGTGCCGACAACGAGTTTAACTCCGTGTCTTCGTTGTTGTTCAACACTCCTGAAAGATCGCTGCGCACACTGTTCCATGAGCCATTGGGAACATTCAACGTGACCACACTGCTCATATTCTTTGTGATGTACTATTTCATCGCGTGTCTCACCTACGGCCTTTCGGTGTCTTCTGGATTGTTCATTCCCGCTCTGCTGATTGGCGCTAGCTGGGGACGAGTAATTGGTGAGCCATGTCTTCTTGATCACTCCCTGTGGTACGCCTGGTAGAGTTCCGTTAGGCCTTATTTTGCAATCCAGCCGAACGAAGGCTTAATTAATATGGATTTTTTCATTCGATCTATTGTTTCTGCTGTCTTGCCTGCACGAACTTTTCGGTCGCGTACACAAGTGCTAACATGATTGACCCCTAACTTCTTTCCGAACTTATTTTATTGGCTTTTTGTGGCAGCGTTTCACCGCACCTTCTATCGCGCTCATTGGGCTGTACGCTGTCCATGTAATGTTTGGCAACGATGGGGATGGGTCGGTTTACTACGGTGTTGTATTTGCCCGCTAGTTGCCGAGTAAACCCGGTGGCTTGGTTTGTATTCTAAAGATCAACGATTCAATGCTGCGTATGTGTGTGTGTGTGACCTATAACTATACCTCAAGTACCCAAGTAACCTATTGTCGTGGCGTGGCGTATCAGCGTAATTCTAATGTTTTTCCGAGAAAATGACACAGGCTACTTTGAGCCACTGGAAGCTGACTTTTTGGATTATTTGGGGTTATTGCTCATTTTACAAAAACATCCTCTGAAGACCGCCAGATTAAGCTACTGGGACATTTTCTGGGGACGAAAGTTGAAGACATTTGTTTGATTTCCACTCGCAGCAACTGTTAGCAGCACATTATACACCCCCTCAATGATTTTATTGGGTTCACCACGAAACATATACACCATAATATGTTCCCTATGAACTACATCCTTGTGCACATTAATTGAAACAAACTACGATTGTGTCTCTTTTTCTATGAATATCATGTTTTTATACATGAAAGCTGCCCTTTTGGCATTTATTTTTTTATTTTATTTTGGGAAATAGATATTTCATCATTGTTTGTGAATCAGACGATGTAGTAACTGCGCATGTCTAGTCGTTACATCATCGAAGATTGCGTCATACTTTTTATGGTTAGTAAGGTTTCTTCAACTTCTTGTTTTTTGTGATTCAGTCATTGTTTGAGATGGAAGTGACTCCCAGAAGGCGCATGAAGATCGTGACCTTGCACGAACACACAGACAAGACCTACAGGGACATAGCAAGAATAGTAGGTGTCAGTCCGGCAACCGTCAGCCGTGTGGTCAGAAAGAAAAAGGAAACGGGATGCATTTCGCCAAAACGCAAAGGGGAAATGTGGTCCTAAGAGGAAAACCACTGCCAGGGATGACGCTTACCTAATACGGGAAAGTGTTAAAGACCCTCGAATGACTAGTGACGCATTAAAACGTGATTTGGGGGAGAAAGGAATAGAAATCAGTTCTTCAGCGGTTCGCAGGCGACTCCTGGAAGTTGGTCGGAAAGCCAGACGGTCTGTGAAAAAACAACTTCTGACAAAAGTTAAACGTTACAAATGGGGACTAAAATACAAAAACTGGACAAAAGAAAATTGGAGAAAAGTCCTATTCAGCGATGAAAGCCATTTCTACGTTCATGGTCAGAGAAGTCAGTATATTCGGAGGTCAGAGGGAGAAAAGGTTCGTGATTCCCACTAAGCCAGAGCTCGGCTTCGGATGCAATGACCCGATTGATCGAGATGACAGAGATTTGCTTCAAATCAAACCATGGCCACTACTATCGAGATTCTCTGTCGCAATCCAGACACACGGCGGGTGCTCCAACAATATCTCATATCCAGTACCCACAATGAACAAGCTCGGGTGCGATTGTTGTCGGTGGCTAATATGGCGATCACCTGGGACGACCTGCGTTGCACTTTGCTGATGTGGACACTAATATTTCTCGGCCAGTAATAGTCGTCCAGAACATCATACCTTTAGCTGACGTGAAACGCACACTTATCCTCGGAGGCACCAACTTTTATCTGCAACTGTTTTCAGTGCTCTAAAAAGTGCATTTGCGACATAAATCTCTCTTTTTTGATCACGTGCAGCTGCCGAAGCTATCCCAATATTCCTTTAAGCCCTCTCATTTTGTAATGGATTCTCCGGGAGGTTATTGATTTTCTTTGTTACTTATGTACAATTCGAATCGAACAACCGTCGGACATGAGCCATTCCTCTACCGTTACTGTTCTTTCATTTCATTTCTCTCTTTTACCATTGTTGACCACGATTGGGCCAATCTCCTGAGATGACGGACTGAAGCTTCCAAGCTGTTTAGTACACCAGCGCAAGGCGAATTGCCACATACTCACTGACGAATATAAAAGCGCGTGACTCGAAACGGCTGGGAGTGCCCAACATGTAGCGTTGCCCAAAAAACGAGTCCACCCAATGATGACATAGTTGCATATATTAAAGCCCCAAAAACCGTGTCAACGTAATTGACGGCCCAATTATTACTCTTCACTGCCAAACTGATGACAACTTGTTCTAAGCCACGTACGCATATGGCCAGATGAGACGTGGGAGTGCGAATGAAACCATTCGAAGGATTACCTCGCATGGAAGCAGGTCCCCTGGAGACAGTTCCATGGATGCCCGTATTACTTTACTTGAACTTATTCTCATTCTGAAATTATTCTACTACTTTTGAATGATAGAACACCACTAACGCCCATTAGGACCACTGAAAAACTTGAAAAACTTTCCCCACCATTCGGTTATGTTGTACAAACTGATCAGTCCACGTAATCGATCTGTGTTTCGCAAGGTCGAGAAATAGACCGTACATTTATTTAAAGATTGGCACAACTACGGCTTGGAGATCTCCCAATAAATCCATGGATATTGTTCATCTTCCATACCAAGACGATTTCTCGCTATGCACTGCCCTGTAGCAGTCATCAACTATGCGCTGCATGAGATTGGAACTTGTAGTCAAGTCGGTTCAAATGCAAGTTGATTCTGGCGCCTCGGTTACCTAAATAATGCATCATCCATTCGGCAGCCAACTAATTAGGCGACAAATTCGCTTGGGATTTGAACAGCTCGTAAAGCTCCTGGATCAAACCAAGACAAAGGCGAAAGTGAAGTACGTAACTATTCAATTGGATATAAAAATGCAATAGGGATGTACCTCAACAATACCCACTCAGTGCAGAAACAACCGTGTCTTTACAAGGCACACGAGGATAGTGCAGTAAGCGTACTTGCAACTGTATAGATTGATCATGAAACCTGAGTTCGCGAGCGAACTTACACAGGCGCTTTGATTTGGTCACGTAACCCTACGCGAGAACGAGTTCGCTGTACAACGCCTGAGGAAACACGAAGCATTAGGTTCACGAGTGACTTCAAGTGAGGGTGGCAACACAGCAGGCCGGTGTGTGCAAAAGCGTGAATGAACGGACGATATTGCAAAGAACTTAAACGCAAACCACTTTCGTTTCCACGTTTGGAGCTTAAGTTGTTGCTGCTTTTCAATCTGCTACACTACAAGTCCTATTTCGACCTGCATACACTCGCGCTACAACACAGCTCAACTCGAGCACTTTTCGATAAAGATCTACACTGAATATACCGAAAGCTAGAACGAACGTTCGGTCTGCTTTTTCCTTGGACACATATAGCTATCTTAGGTCATGCGACGGTGTGGCAACATTTAAAAGCAGATTCTCCATTTACCTTGGTCTAAATACCATATTCACTTTATTTACATGGGAAAGATCCCTTTATGAGCTATTCCAAGAGGAGCCTAATAATATCTACACAATAATGTTTTCAAAACTAGGCTTTTGCCTCAACCATTTATCAGAACATGACTTTATGGAACTCATTCTCCAAGATTCCACCTATGCATAGCGCCAATGCAAGTGCATTGATACTTTTTTTTACAAATTGATCTGTGCCATTACAGACAATTTCTTGCATCAGGAAAAATATACGTATTATTATTATTATTATTATTATTATTATTATTATTATTGTCATTTTGCATGAGATTTGGTCTGAAACCATGGGCAACGGCGAATCAGAAGACGAAGAAGATTTTAACAGGCACATTAAGAGCTGAAGTTTAGCCTATGGCGCAAATGTCAGTTATGGTGATTCAGAGCAATATTCCAATATCCAAATTTCGACTTGCCTGGCAATTTTACCGTTAACAATCTAATCCGTCTTCTTGTCAATCAATATTGTGAAGCTACATCGGACCTGCAAAACCATTCTTGGGAAAGTGTACCTTTCACAGATACTACGAAGAACAGTGGATTCTTTTGATCTCTATTTTTGTGAACAGTGATTCAACGATTGTCTCTGGGGGATAAAGCCTGTTTTCAGTACGCCGCAAGCGCGCACGACAGTGGAAGATGAGGATAAGCGCTAAATCACAGTCCGTCAGTCACGTAGTCGCGGTGGCCGCCGCTGCACGTCTCGGCCGCCCAGTGGTCTTAATCATCACGGGCTAGCGAGAGTTGAGTCGCAGATTTGAACCACTCATCGAGCGGCTAGATTGTGCACTTCTGGCAAGTACCAGAAGAACGAAACGGCCGCACAGTGCTTTTCTACTTGCGCTTACGTTGACTGTAGCCAACTTTGCTTCTCCTTTAATCCCTTGCCTTTATCTTATTTGAGTGAATGTTTCATTAACTTTACAATAGACACTATTCCTTTTTGCTTACCTCCCCCCTCCCAGGTAACTGGATGAATTCATCCTATCCGTCTTACTTTTCCCATCCGGGCAAGTTCGCTCTCATCGGTGCAGCAGCACAACTCGGTGGGGTGGTCCGGATGACTTTGAGTCTGACTGTCATCCTAATGGAGGCCACCGGAAGCGTGATCGTCGGTCTTCCTCTCCTCATGACCCTGACTGTGGCCAAATACGTAGGCGACTCTCTGAATGAAGTGAGTTCGGTCGCGATTACTAACTGCCTGTGACTGTTATCACTCCCCACATATTCGTCCTTAGCACGTTTACTGTACTTGAAATTACGCATCTGTTTAAGCCAAGCCACCTGCGCTTAACGATGATAACTACTTTACCATTACCAGCGAATGCGCGCGCTCTCAGCGTTAATTGGGAAGAGATTACTATGACTGTACCTCAGGTATTGAAATCTGTTGGAACTTTTCACTTGATGCAATAGCTGATTAGCTTTCTGAGGACTTGCGATGCGTACCCCATGAGTTTCACCGGCGAGTAGCTATGTGCACAATTTACTTATTTATTTGTCTGATGTCTTACTAATTTGACATTGTCTGCATCCACAAACTGTGGCCAGCATTCTCATCTGACGTTCAACTCCATGTAGCGACCTAAGTATTGTCCCACGGAGTCACGAGGAGGCTTGATGGGACATTTGTCGTGACCGGTTGCCGCCGCAGTCGGGTCGGAGTAACTGGTTGGACGTATATGTACTATGCGAACACTGAGTACCTGTCTACTCGCTTACAGCTACATTGCCCGATAGGCAGATTCCCAGTCCTTGTTCGGTGAAGTAAAGCTTTGCACGGCTCTCCTGACTGCTTGTTTTCAAGAGGTAAGTGGTCTGAAGCCTATCCAAAAGGCTCATGTGTACTTTTGTTTGGTTAAATCAGACTGCTGGTATATCTCTCGGCAAGTGGGATATGTTTCCGACATGAGTGACAGTCATTTGTACAGAGAAGTAGTACCGTCATTTTTCAGTTTCTTGCTGCGTCACATATTTGCTAGTGTCAAAAAATGTACCCCTTAGCCATACAAGAACGCTTTATGATTATAAATGGAATATAGGAGCGCAATAGGCAGGGAAAGCAAGACAACGAAAGTCTGTGTTTCACCGATTCGTTCTTGCCAAATATCGAGCCGGTTATGCAACCCACGGAGATATTGCACTCATTGGTCACCCGGTGACCAATGGACTCAGGGTCAGTGGTTCGAATCTTCGTGGGTGCCGGCGACTTCACGACTTGCCCATCACGCACGTGACTGATGGTGGTCACATGGCGTCAACACTTCGGCACGATGTACCGGCGTATTTCTGATATCTCCCCGTCTCTTCTACTTCCTTTCCACCCTGCTGAATCGTAGGTTCCAAGTGCGTTTGGTCAACCGAATTGTATCCGCATTGTCTGCGATCACTTGAGCATGCGTGCACCGCATTTGTTTGGCGCTGTTGTAATCTGTGTTGTGTTCCACGAAGGGGCCAGTGCTCTATGATCCAGTATCAATTGGCCAATTACGTGATCCAATTGTGCTTTCACTCCATGTGCGTCAGCATCTCTGAAAGAGGTCAAGTGGGAAACTAGTGCCATCCACAGGCATACATGTTTTTCCCAATTTTATCTCCATAGATGAGTGCTACCCACCAATGTTACACCATGCGGACTCCATAGAATTGCAAATTTCTTTACTGGCCGCTGTGGAGATTGCGGACAGTTTGTAGTGGGGATGCGCATAGGATTTTGAGCGGATCGGATGAAAATGGGAGGCTAGGGGTTAGGTGGATTTACATGGGAAAAGCGGGCAATCAGTGGAAGGGTTAAGTAGGTTTGTGTGTTGTGTGGGCCAGGCCGAGGACGACGCTTGACTTAAGGGATGCCACTCCGAACCTTTAGTCTTAAAGATCTGACCCGCAAGACAGCGGGGCAATTCACAGAAGTTGCTAAATACAAAGACCGTTGACAGCTAGGTGGTTCATTCACCTTCTTTGTGTTCGGTAGCAGTCTGCACAGAGAAGCCGTTGGCCAGCAAGTTTGTTAATCCGCCATCCGTTAAGTACTCACCTCTGATTACAGAAGAGAATGATCAGTGACGCTATAGCCGGTCGCATTAGCTTTGACACAGCACCGTATGAGCTCTTGTGGTATTTTATGGAAAACCAGGTGACCAGCCCAGAACTCCCCACCCTCAGACGCTGCCGGTGATTGTCCGCGACTGCTTATTCATCTCGCCTGCGAAGCGAATGGAACTTAATCGCACTTGCCTTCACATGGAAGGCATTCCCCAGTCCGCAACTTGGGACTCTTACGGTAGCGTACAGCTCCGCCACGGCAGATGGGAGGGGAGTCAGAAGTAAGCCGTTCTCGCTTGTCCGCGGATTCGGCGGCCTTTTCGAAAATGTGCGACAGTCAATGCATGAAGAGATTGAAGTGCGAGGAGACTATGGTTGCATATGAGCTGGGATTCTGTCGATGAAAGGAATGAACACTCAAATCTCACTATCGATCGATAACAACCCGTTTACTGAGACATTCGCTATCATGTCAGTTATAAGGCAGTTTTCCTTCCAGACTAGCACTTTGAGTTGGCGAAACTATTTTGAGTCATCATACGATATTCCTCGTTTTGTTTTGTTTATTTCTGCGCTCATGAGACTACCAATGTCTCATCAATTACCTCAATTATCCATAGAGCACTTTTCACCCGCAATGCCAGAAGCGTCTCTATGAACCAGATGTTCAGTGTGAGCTTCTCTCCCATCATTTCACTTTTGTTTCTCTGTTCTCCACCTTTCAGGGCATCTACGACGAGCACATCGGCCTGAGTAGCCTTGCTTTGTTACCATGGGAGCCAGATCCACTGTCTTCGGTTAAACGAGCATACGATCTAATGTCTTCCCCGGTCGTCTATCTGGACCCGGTGATTCGAGTCGGCGATATCGTGAGCAAAGTCCACAAAGCGATGCACCACGGGTTCCCCGTCGTCGAGGGTCCTGTGAACGCTGCTCGCTTCTCTTACGGCACCTTGGTCGGATTAATTTCCGCTGAACATCTGAGCATTCTATTGAAAAAACGAGTGAGTCTTTTTCATGTGGCTACCAGCGTTTTATTCTCGAGAGTCGCTTTGCACCACATTATTCGGCCCTTATGAATCGGGACTCGATTTAGAACTACTCGTGACAAATTCCGCACTGTTTACCACCGAGCGGTGATGAAATCCCTTTTCTTTACTCATCAAGCGCTCCAATAGCCAGTTTGCGTGGTGTGTTTTAATTGTGGCATGATTTGCTAACTGCACGTGCGCGACAAGGAATTGCCAAGCATTTGACGTGCGTAATCCAATGAACTTGTTAGCCCTGTGATGAAAACGTTCACCGGTAGCGCCTGCGCTCCAGAATGGGGGATCCCATCCCCTTGTTATTTTTCTACTTTCTGACTCGAAACAAGGATGGAACCAGACGTGGAGTACCTCGTAAGGAGCGAACAGTGCATTGCTTTCGTCCACATCAGATACATCTCTGCGCTTTTTCTACGGGACAAATCTTGATGACAGCAACGATCACATCTCCAGCTGGTTCAGTTCAGTTGAGTTAAACCTAAAATGGCACGGGACTCAGCTATTCAGCCTACCAATATAAATCTGTGTTTCATACGCAAGCGATGGGTTTTTGTTTCCAACTAATCACGGCAGATGGATATGTAGAATGGAAAGGTTCAAACATGGAACTCATTCATCCAACCCTCAAGTCCTCAATCTGCTCGGAGGATGGAGCAATGCAGATTGGAGAGAAGAAGAACAGAGCTGATTTATCCAACCAAAAGCGAACAAATTACCAATAACTTTCAGAGCAATGCAGTTGTCAGTCAACACTCCGAGTAAACGCGGTTACCCAAGCGCTCCCATCACCGGAGTAGTAACCGTTAACAGCGTTTCTGCATGCGAAGCGAAGCACAAACCGATTAAACGATTCGGAGTACAAAACAGCGATACAATACGGCGAATGCACGATCGCCATCAATCCCAATCACTAGCTACACCGTCTGACCTGTTGCGTCGGTATTTTTCAACTACTATCAGAGTATGAATGATCGGCGCGTCACTTACATGCTCCAGAGCAAAACAATGTCGACACATGGTAAGCGGTGCGCTGATCAAGAAGGCATTGTTTCACTGGCCGAATCGGGCCAAGTATTTTTCCCATCTCGAGCACCCGACATTTTCCCAGCAGCTTTTTCATGCTTGTCACCAGCGCTTGGTCAATTAGTCATGTGCAATCCATGCCTAAACACCGCGAAGCCAGGCGACTAACCACGTGTGGTCTTGTTTCAGCAACTTTTGTTTACATTTGTTTGACGCGCAGTTTGATACCGGAAACAGACAGACGCGGCTTGAAGTTGTCCCCCTTTCATCCGTCTGACATCATCAGACTGCCGCAAGACGCTGCTCATCGCATACCCAATCCAAATGAACACGCTGGCCACCTCGGCTACCTACTCACTTATTACCAAATCAATGCGCTTCAGGTGCCACAAAAGGGACTTATTAACCGTAACGGCTATGTATGTGTAGGACCGCATGATGAGCGCTTCTCGGATAACAGTGAGAATTGGACTCTTCGATGTGAACTTTACAGTCACCAACAACTTTTAATTCATCGTTTGATTTCGGAGCGTCAGTTTCATGTTGGATGGCAGCATCGTATTCTCATCGACCTGGTTTGCAAACGTTTGCCGACCGATGATTACTTCGTTAAGTTAATACATACGCTTCAATAAGTTGCGTTGTTTGCCCATATGTTGCTGATACACTTACTCACCACTGAATGAAGTGAGACTGGTTTGTGAGCTATTTCGGCGTTGCTCGCTCCCAAGTCGGCACTTAACTATGGGTTTCGTTCTTCTGTTGTTCATTTGTTCGCCGAGCTTGGCAATTTGGTTGCAGACGTTTCGCCACCGAACGAAGCGGCATCATCAGAGCACTATTGGCTGTAGCTTGCTCGCAAGCAATCATAGCAGGCAAATCCAGGAATGGACACCACCAGTTACTGTGTCGGAACTGCTAGAATTCCCCCACTTTGGAACTTTTTTCTTGTAGTCAATCAAAATTAATATAGTCCCATTGATTACATCGATGAGCAGCCAATCAGAACCCAGCATCATTGGAAGACAATGGAACTGCTGGAATCTTTCCATGTCGGAACCTTCTTTTTGCAGCCAACCAAAATCAATCTAACCCCATTGTATACATCGGCAAACAGCCATTCAAGAAGAATTTCAATTCATATCACTGGCAATCCATATAAGGACGGGGACGGTAATTGGTGGCGTCCATTCCTAGATTTGCATGCTGCGTTTTCTGTTGACCAAGCCACAGTCTACTTTGCGCTGATATCACCTCGATTGGTGACTAAACGTCTGTAACAAAATTGCCTAGCTCGGCCAATAAATGAACAGCTGAATCATCAACCTGAACTTCCAGAATCCCGAAACATTTCGGGTTTCGCCCTTGTTTTGACTCCTCGGACATAGGTAGCCGAAGCAAGGAATTATTAGATGTGCCACTTATTACCCGCGTATCTAAGTGCCATATTAATGACCGAATTTTCAGCAATCAACCACTGCGCCCACTCTTCCAATCCCAGCTCCGACTATCCCCGTCTAGTGAATCCCAACAAGCATGCAACCAAATCATGGAGTGCACATTTTGAAGTGCGTAACGGTTAAATTTTTACACTTCCGTTATTGTCTTAGTGATCAGATTGACCAAGGGCTACTTCAAGGTCAACGGAAGTTTCCATAAAGAGCGCGTGCCTCAATCCGGACACACGGAAGGTGCTCCAAAAACAGTATTGAAACTTGCTTTGTTTACTGGATATAGGATGGTGCAATACTCGATTGAGCGGTGCCCTGACAAGAAGAAATAAAATCACTGAAAGTCAAATTATCATCTGTTCATTCGTCTAGTCTTCCAGGCTGATCTCCATGTTGCCCACCGTTACGGGAACCGAGCGTGCACACAATATGGCAAGCTGAAACCACGTAAGTCACTGAGACTCGCATTCAGACCAGTGCACATGTTCTATCAGCCTCCATACACATGAAACACTCATTTTTCGGACAACCCCCGCAATTACCAACATTCACTTGCTTACGCCTTACTTCTACCATTAACTTGCGCAAACCATTCTGCGGGATCACATATTTCTTTAATCGCGATATATAAGCAAGGCTGTATTTGCTTTCCGCATGGCCGGTGAAACTGCCTGTTACGAAGCGCCTGTCTTTTGTTCTTGTTTCTCGCGTCTAGTCGCGTGTGGAGTCCGGCTTCGGTCTAGGAACCGATTCGAATTGTGCGTAGAAACCGTGTAGCGCCTAAGTCTCACGGGTCGTAACAATTCGAATTCTGTCGCCTACCTTGTCGTGCGGGGATGCAATTCTGCACCATGTTCGTTCGTCCAAGTAGCAGAGTCGATACCGGTCCGTTACTGCACGTTGTCTAACCAAAATGAAGTGCTAACACCCACTTTGTTGGGATTAACTCAAAATCTTACAGTATATTGCTCTCATCCGGCGCGTTTACTTTCGTCTGACGGCTGAACCATCTGTTTACATATCTGATGCTGGATAGCCCGTGGTGTAAGGTTGATTTTAGCCCAGGACAGTGATTGAACCATGAAGCTGCCTCACCCATGCCATTTTGACACTTAGGTGTAATATCTGATACCGCTTCTCCAACCATTGTTCCTCTTTCTTGTTATCTGCCGTCTTTATGTGTGACAGCTGCATGGTAGCGCAATATGCACTGCAGTTGCTGTTTACTTATTGGATAGCACTAGTTTTATATACACTTAGGTGTGTGTGTGTGTGTGTGTGTGTCTCATGACTTCGCATGCAATGTCATCCGCATGTTGCGAACAAACCACAGCTCAAGTTTTCGCACAGCCACAATATTGTTTAGACGGTGTTTTCGGTTCAATTGTTCCCCGCACCAACTAGCGGGCAGCAGATGGCAGTTCAGTTCACGGTGACTGCTCATTGTGGCTTGAGAACCATGTAAGCAAACACGTTTTTTTGACACCTATCGTCACGGTCGAATTGTCCTACTTCGACGGCAGTTGTGCAATGGAACTAGCTTCCCTGTTGTTTACCATCAATACACCGCAATCCACGGTCGGTTTGATTCTAGTTTGGGCTAACCAGATGTGTGATAACTGTCATTTATAATCAACCGCTCTGCCTCTTTGTTAATCAATGAACGCCCTTGCTACTAAACCGTCGAGACGCAGGAGAAACGCTTTGCCCCCGACACGTATTGCGTATGTCCGATCATCGCCTACTAGGGAGGGCCTTGTTTGCAGGAGGTTGGGTTATATAACGTTCCAGGTGGACAAAACCTGACTTGGCAGCGGAAAATGAATTCACAGGCGCTGTTGGTCCGTTTTACCCCACAGGCTTGAACCCACACAATCCACCACGCTTGGCCCATGCCCCACATAAGACATGCGATTCACTACCGTCACCAGTGGTGCGCTCACTGCCTTATCCTAGATGGACCGGTTCACAGGGGTTTCAAGGAGCCTCTCCCGCTTATGCAGCCTTATCATTGTATGGCAGCCAGCCATTTATGATCACATGTTGTCGACAAGCTAAAGGCACACTGACCATGGATGCTTGCTTTGGGGCATGCAGGTTTCGCAATAGGTCCCATTCTCCTCTTATCGCTCTTCATCTCCCAAATCGTTGTGTAACATCGAAGCATCAGTTCAGTATTGCTGCTGTTTCCGATGTTGATTATGATAACGCTGACAAGCAACCTTTGCTTTACTCCAGCTGTGCTGGAAAACATTTCTTCGCTTCATGACTAGTAACTCCTTGGCGCGGTAATTATTCCGTCAGATTCTTTCACTCTCGTGACTTGTGTTCTGAACTTGTTGACCTCTGTCTGGACAAGTAAACTGATTGTTTTCATAAATCTTCCGGGGTTATTGTTGACAGAATTTGTTTCTCGGTATGCGAAACACTGCGATAGAGGCTTTCCCTTCATACTGAGGAACATACTGCTTCATTGCACCAACACCCTGCTCTCGTTTCGCAGGCTTTTCATGTTGGGGCTCAATCACCATGAGCCACATCACAGGGTCGGAACCCTTATTGCTACCATATGAGTCCGTATTTCGTAGGTAAGTTTTGCAGCACATAGTTGAAGTGTGTCTCTGACCTTCAGCTAATGTGTGACCATAGGTAACTAGGTTCGGCGTTCCAAGCCTTTAGAAATCCGCACAATATTTTAGAATCTTGCTTATCTCATTTGTCCTGGTACTTCACACAGCTCATCATCCAAGCCTGGTTGTGTTGGAAGCGCAACAATGTTCTATTTGCAATCAAGCTTTCCCAATAGAAGTAACATAAATGCATGTAAAACACAGTGTTGCATGCATGTGCCTGCATGAATTTGGGTGTTTATCTCTATCTGCTACCTCGGCGCTTAATCTCATGTGTCACATCACTAACCTTGTCAGATTTATGTGCTGTGCTTCTCAATCACTGGGAGGATGTTCATTTTACGAGGTAGCGGCTGAGACAGTCACATTTTGAACGAGTCTACTGGCCATATTTTGATCATTTGCACTCCCGGCGCCGCAAGGGACTCCGGACTGAGACTCTTCAATCTTTATTCTCTTTGAATTCCGCCCGGCATCGCACCAAGCATTGCCTCACTAAGCTCGGTGATCTGGCATTGTGCATGTGTTTGCGGCCGGCAGTTGCGAGACTCATGCAATTGGACCTGGCTATCTTCAACGGAAGAACCAACGCGAGGAAGATACTGGTGCTGCAGCTTGGCTCTGAGATTTGCCAGCGTCAAAAATAGTATTTGTATGGGTATATGAGCCATCGTTTAGGGGACTCACGTGCTCAGCCTCTCATTGTTCCATTGATATCTTTATTTCATCGTGTTATTCTTGGTTCTACTTGAGTTGATGGAACAAAACGACTGTTTGCTTCTCGATATGGTTTGTGTTGCATTCATTTGTACGTATCTCCTTCTCTGGCTCAAATGACTTGACGTGTCTTACCGAATGAAAGTTTCCTTTTTCATTTTATTTGTTTTATTCCTTTCTAATTTGGAACGTTTTCGACTGGCTTTTCTTGTCTGACAGATCTTCCTCGATGAAAATGAATCGCCAACAAATACACTGACATATCAGGACTACGACGACGCTTTTCCATCTAATGCTCGTCTTGAGGTGAGCCTCCTGCTTATCTTCTTGTTCTCTCTTTGCGCATCTCTGGCACCATGCAAGGATTTTCTTTTGTTTTGGAGGCTGAACAATACTCCCTCAACTCCCTCAGGCTAATCCACTCCCGTGCTGTTCTTGTTTTAGCGTGTAGAACTGAGACACACGAGAGCACATCCGATCTTCGTATCATTTTAATGTGATAGAGTGGGGCAACATTGTCTATTTCGTTTGGGATTTCTCCCTTTAAATATCTGTTTAAACGAGCATTTTTTTGGTAATTCTTCATCAGGTTAGTATACACACCTTCATATGTAGAAATAAATGGCTATGCGTCGGCGAGATGTGTTGCTTTTGAGCATCTGGTTGGTTCTCGAATCCCAGTTACAAGACAGGCCAGATGGTGTTCACTATCCATGTTGGAAAGTCTCCTTGTAATATGGACAGTGTGATCTGCTCCAGGGGAATACTCTCACATCAGATTGGGCTAGCAGTGAACTGGATCTGCATTTTGTTGCTTCGAATCTGTACATGGATTCGTGAAAATGACGACAAGTTAGGATTTCCACCGCATTTTCGCCCTTTTGCGGTAGGTGTAGAAACATTTATCTTTCTTTCTTTATCTAACGTTACGAAATTCTTCTCCTCTTGCTCCACCTTTGCCTTACTGACGCTCTTTGGGTAAACACTTGCGTCTATTGCCGAACTCTGTATTCTTTCTTGCAAAGTGTCGCGCCAGCCAGTCTTCTCAGCTGTGCTCTTTCGGTGTAAGTGACACAAAGCTCTGGAAATCTGACAAATGACTTTTCACCCTTGTGACCAAGGTGGGAGAACGTAGTCTCCTTTTTCCACACTCACTATTAATTACCAAGAGTTCAGAGGGGATTCACTTGACAGCATATTCAATGCTTTGAATATTGATGCCCAACGCGCATCCCTAGTGCGCAGGTTCGCTTGATGTCGCTTTTCTATGGCTCATTTTTCGCTTTATGTTTCACGATGCAATTAATCTTGCAGTGCTGTGACATTTTCGCTTTAATCTCCTATCTACCATGTACCTTTCGTTTGTTTCCCTTTCAGGACGTTCTCCGTGAGCTTACGGCGGAAGACATGGATGCGCGTGTGGATCTTCGGCCGTACATGTGTGAGGCTCCCTACAGCGTACCGGAGGTAAGTTTGTGTGGCATCACTTCCTTTCAAGGATTCATTCCAATCACTGCGTGTCATACACGCTGTTTTTATTTCTCTTCGTGAGTGTGTTATGGACCGTTAAGTATGGCCCTTAGCCGATAAACGGAGAGAGAACGTGCAAGCGTAGTACGGAATCGATTTACTAAAAGCATCCTGCGTTACAATGGCTAGAAAAGCCGGAAAGGAAAATCATTGAAATAAGGAAAGTAAGGCAAGGTCATTCTCAACCAATCATGTGAGAGCCTGTGTTTACGAATCAACACTCAAGTGCATACATGACGCCCATTTCTTACCTGGTCAAAACTGCAGACTCCAGCTTGATCCTGATCAATTGTCTTAGGCATGCGTTTTTAGCGTCAATTGTGGTTGTGCCTCATCCAGTTTCGGTTCCTGATTTTGAGAAGCGAATTCTCCGTCCGTTTTTGGGTCAGTAGCAGTCGCTTTTTGATTCCGCTCCTGTGGTTCGTTTGACTGTGACCGGATATGGTGAAAATGGCGACGCACCACATGGCGCTCCTCCAGCTGTAGCTCTGCTTGGTTATTCATCGAGGACATGAGTGTAGCAAGTTGCCAGCTGGTTTCGTGAGGCCGTCTTATGTATGCTGAATCAAAATCATTAAAACACATTTCCTATGGCATCTTTTCATCCATACACATTTCTCCTACTTTGCCTCCATTCTCCTTCGAGAGTTCGGTAAAAGTAGATGCCGTGTCGTTCGTAGTGGCCGACCAGACATTAATTCCACGGGTGACTTCCCTGTCGACTCAGTCGGTGTCGTACGGTAAGAGAACAGGAGACGATCCAACTTAGTTTGTAGAGTTCCATAAGTCCTTGCTTAACAGTTTGGACTGCATGTTCTGCCATTCAATACGACGCGGGATGGTACGACGCCGGCTCAATGTGCTGTATCCCCTGGTTACTCAGGAACTGTTGAAACTCTTCACTGGTAAATGGGGTTCCGTTGTCGGTGCATACCGTCTCCGAGATACCGAAAATGATGAGTATGGAGCGCAATAAATCGGAATACTTGTAGCTCGGGTGATCTGTTCAGATTTTGTTCTGTTCTCCGAGCTGAACAGTTTCGTTGCAGACGTTTCATCACCAGTCGTGGTGACTTCCTCAGTGCGTTATAAGTAAACTGATTTGTTTTGTCGATTCTTACCGGTGAGCGAGTGACATTTGAACCTGCTCAGTTCGATTCAGGTCCCGTGATCATTGCTTGTTCCCAGTGTGGGCGCCGCCTCTTCCGACTCATTTGCCAGATGATCCACGTAAAATCTTTTCTCGCAGCTGCCTGTATATCGGATCTAAATCGATGCGTTGGTTTATTGAACTGACTGTAGAAAACCAGGCTTCAAGGAATTCTCTTCCTTTTTTGGTCTCTCCTTGCGCTAGTATCTCTGTTTTCTCCCAATCAAATGCGTGCCCTTCTTCATCAACGTGTGTCGAGACCAAGGATGATGGGTAATGGTTTCGACAGGCTCGCTTGTGTTCTTGCAGTCTTGTAGACAATTTTCTTCCCGTTTGGCCCACATAGTTCTTATCACAATTTTTACACTGTATCTTGTAAATGACGTTCCGGCGTTCGTGTGCTCTCGTCTTCCCTTTCGGTCTAGATAGGGTTCCTTTCAGCGTGTTGGTGGGTATGTGAGCCAATAACAGATGGTGTGGCTTGAGGAGTCTAGCAGTCAGTTCCGATACGTTCTTGATGTATGGTAAAGCGATCCGTTTGGTTGTTGTTGGTTCAGGTGTGGTGTTTGTAATCTTCTGGTTCATGTATCTTCGGATGAAGCTGCGTGGATATCCGTTGCGCATGAAGGATGTAAACAAACATCAGAGAACGCCTGAATGTTGGCGAAGGAGCAATTGGTAATCTGACGACTGATAGTATATGCGAGCTTCTTGACTTATGTCTTACGACCTACTTTAACTTCGATGGAGCACTGTATGAACAAGTGAAAGGAGCCCCAATGGGATCACCAATATCTGGACTCATTGCAGAGTTGTCATGCAAACGTTAGAAGAAAATCTACTACCAGTCGTGAATCCGAAATTGTGGGTCAGATATGTTGACGACACGTTTGTCATACTCAAACGCAGCCAGTTGCAGACCGCACAAAGCCTGCTGAACGATGCAATGGACGGTATTCACTTTACTATGGAACCAGAAATGGAGAACAAACTACCTTTCTTAGATGTATTGGTTACTAGAACAACGGACGGAGAACTACAAACATCAGTTTACAGGAAAGATACGCATACAGATCAAATATTAAATTTCAACAGCAACCACCCAAAATGTCACAAAATCAGCTGCATCCGCACCTTGTTCCGTAGGATAGAATCACATTGTAATACTGCTGAAGCAAAACGCGAGGAAGAAAATCATTTGTTTACATCCTTCATGCGCAACGGATATCCACGCAGCTTCATCCGAAGATACATGAACCAGAAGAGTACAAACACCACACCTGAACCAACAACAACCAAACGGATCGCTTTACCATACATCAAGAACGTATCGGAACTGACTGCTAGACTCCTCAAGCCACACCATCTGTTATTGGCTCACATACCCACCAACACGCTGAAAGGAACCCTATCTAGACCGAAAGGGAAGACGAGAGCACACGAACGCCGGAACGTCATTTACAAGATACAGTGTAAAAATTGTGATAAGAACTATGTGGGCCAAACGGGAAGAAAATTGTCTACAAGGCTGCAAGAACACAAGCGAGCCTGTCGAAACCATTACCCATCATCCTTGGTCTCGACACACGTTGATGAAGAAGGGCACGCATTTGATTGGGAGAAAACAGAGATACTAGCGCAAGGAGAGACCAAAAAAGGAAGAGAATTCCTTGAAGCCTGGTTTTCTACAGTCAGTTCAATAAACCAACGCATCGATTTAGATCCGATATACAGGCAGCTGCGAGAAAAGATTTTACGTGGATCATCTGGCAAATGAGTCGAAAGAGGCGGCGCCCACACTGGGAACAAGCAATGATCACGGGACCTGAATCGAACTGAGCAGGTTCAAATGTCACTCGCTCACCGGTAAGAATCGACAAAACAAATCAGTTTACTTATAACGCACTGAGGAAGTCACCACGACTGGTGATGAAACGTCTGCAACGAAACTGTTCAGCTCGAAGAACAGAACAAAATCTGAACAGTATGGAGCACATTTTTTCAACTGCTGCTGTGAAAGTCACATGTGGAACTGGATGGACCTCTATCCATTAAGAATGGGCATCAATCAAAAGTAGGCACATCAGCCCATTGTTTGGGCCAAAATAGTCTACGTTTACCCGCTGACAGGATCTCTCCGGCCACCGAATCGGGTGTATCGGTCAGGGAGATTTGTGCCTTTGGTATTTCTGATAGTGTTCGCAACTTCTCCGTAGCCGCACTATATCCTGGTCGATATTCGGCCACCAACAGTAACCAAGTGGCAGTGCCCTCCACCTATTCACGCCGGGATGTGCGTCATGCAGCTCTCTCTGTAACTGGTGGAACTATGCGCGAGCCTCTAAATATACAGCCGTCGTATAGACTCAACTCATTACTCCGACGGGCGTATGGTTTCAGTTCGCCTGACGTGTTTGTAGACCATCTGGTCAACAAGTACCGCTTCACCATCGACAACACAGGCGCCCGGTCTGTCAGGCGCTGCACCATCGCACTCCGGATGGGTGTCTTTTCAAGATGCTGCATCAAATTGATAAACCCCATGGGTTTGCTATTCGTTTTTGTGCCATGCTGCTGCGGGCGGCGACTAAGTGCTTCCGCAATAGCATTCGGGGCGATGACATCTGTTAGATTCCTTCCTCCTCACCCAGAAGCAAAAGAAGTGATTTATGGTCAGCGTGGATATCAAACTTTCTTCCCCAGACGTACTGGTGGAAAGGTTTGACTCCGAAAATAATCGCTAACTTCTGCATGTCTGGTTGAAAGTACTTTCTTTCAGCGGGTTGCAAGGTGCGAGAAGCAAAAGCGATTGGACGATGGGAACCGTCATCCGTCCAGTGGGAAAGGACTGTGCCTACTCCGCGTGGGAAAGCATCACACTGCAGCACTGGAGGCCGGCTCGGATCGAAACGCACGAGACACGGGGAGGCGCTGAGCACCCTTTTTGCATTTGTGAAGGTCTTTCTTTGATCTGGACCCCAAGTCCAGGGCTTCCTTTTGTGGAACAGTTTGTACAATGGTGCAAGTACTCTTGTGACGTTAGGTAAGAAGCGACGATAGTGAAAACGTCCTTAAAAGCGATCGGAGATCAGCTTCATTATTAGGTTCAGGTGCGACAAGGATGGGCTTTACTTTGTCTTCTAACACGTTTAATCCGTTTTTATCGATGCGGTAGCCAATATAACGAACGGAATCTGTGAAAAACGTACTCATGGACTTCTTCAATTTGAGTCCATTCTGTTGTTGACGTTCGAGCACAGTGGATAGTGTTTATAATTGTTCGACATCTGTACGTTCTGTAATTAGAATGTCGTCAAGATAGGTGCAAGTGAAAGGAATACCTTTGATCAGGTTGTCAGTGATCCTTTGGAATATCGCTGAGGCCGAACTGATTCCTAAGGCAGACGTTATTACTGGAATAGACCCATTTGTGTACTTATCGTAATGAATGAGCCAGAGGTCTCGTATAACTCCATTTTTAAGTTCGCGTGATTGAGGTCGATCTGCGTAAACTTTTGTCCGCCTTCCAGCGTAGCATACAGATCCTCTATCCGAGGTAACGGATACTTCTCCGGACTTAAACAATGGTTAATGGTTGCTTTATAGCGGCCACAAATGCGCACAGAACTATCCGGCTTCAGGATTGAAGCTATTGGAGCTTCCCACTCACTGTATTGGACTGGCTCGATTGTTCCAGCTGATTGCAATCTCTATCTCTTCTTTCATCTTGAATCGCTGCCCCCGAAAAAGCGGGGCTGAGTTCCCGTCCGTACTTTGATACTACCCT